ACGAGCACGTCAAGCACCTTGAGGAGGTTTTGCAGGTCCTCAAGGAGGCACAGCTGCACCTCAACTTAGAGAAATCTGAGTTTGGAAGGGACAACGTCATCTATCTTGGGCACTGGTTGTCTGCAAACGGCCTTGAGCCGGAGGCAACCAAGGTTGAGGTCATCCGAAAGTGGCCTCAACCAGCAAACGTACGTGAACTGCGTTCTTTTCTTGGTTTGGCCTCATATTATCGGAAGTTTGTGCCCAAATTTTCTGTCATTGCTCACCCACTCTAGAGACTAACAAGTAAGAATGTTGCCTATGCGTGGTGTGAGAAATGTGAGACTGTGTTCCAAGCCTTGAAAGAGGCATTGGTGAGTCATCCTGTGCTCTGCATTGCGAATCCCAACCTCACGTTCGTAGTTACTACGGACGTGAGCCAGTATGGGATTGGTGCAGTGCTGCAACAAGATGATGGCGATGGCCTACGTCCGCTCGAATATTACAGCAAACGCATGCCCAGCCACAAGGTAGCTACCTCCACGTATATGCGTGAGCTCTACGCCACGCGAGGGCGCTCACACATTGGAAGCACTACCTCTTGGGTCACCACTTAAAGGTCTACTCAGATCATCAGACCTTGCAGTGGATTAAGACACAAACTGATCTCTCTCCGACGCTGACCCGCTGGCTGCATGACATTGATGTTTACAACTTTGAACTGGAACACAAGAAAGGTTGTTATAACCGTGTTGCTGATGCTTTGTCGCGCCATCCTGAGTTTTTGACTTGCCTTGTGGACTCGTATGACCTTCGAAGGAAGGTGAAGGAGGATCTGGTCGAACACAGTGCCAAGGATCTGGACCTTAGTCCCATCCATGAGCAGTTCAAGGCTGACCCTAGTAGTCAGCCTGATTTTCACGAGTGTGAGGGTCTTGCATTCCGCCGGTATGGGAAGTTTGATCGTTTGTGTGTACTGAACCATGCGCCTCTCCCGACTCATATCTTGGATTTGGCACATGGTCGGAGTGGACACTTCGGCTTTGAGAAGACTTATGTCTTTTGCAGCAGTTTGATTGGCCGGGAATGAAGGGATCTGCTCAGAAATTTATTGTTGAATGTCAAATCTGTCAAAGAACCAAGGTCCATAGGCATAAGCCTTATGGTCTGTTGAAACCCCTCCCAATTCCCGGTGAGTCGGTCTCTATCGATTTCACGGATATGGGGAAGGTGAGTGAGGGAGGACATTCACAAGTCATGGTCATTGTGGATCACTTCTCCAAATTTATGAACTTGATTCCTCTACCTCCTCATGCACCAACTGAGTTTGTAATCGAAGAATTTCACCAGCAGTACATTGTGCAGTATGGACCCCCAAAAACTCTTGTGAGTGACCGGGACACCAGGTTCATTAGTGCTGATTGGAAGGACTTCACCTCACAGATCTATGACGTTAAACTCAACAAGACTTCTGGTCGACACCTCGAAGCCAATGGATTGGCCGAGGAAATCAACCAGACTGTCATTCAACTGCTTCGCGCGCTAATTGTTCCAGATCAGAACATGTGGGACAAGGAGTTACACAAAGTGAAAGGGTTGTACAACAACTCCATTCACTCTGCAACTAGCGTAACACCAAATCAGTTGCAATATGGTTGGCAGCTGCGCAATCCTCTCTCCTATTTGTTCCCCGAGCGGTCCCCTGGTCTGACGCCCGGCATGCCTGGCTACAATGCCAAGTACGCACGCCTGCTCAAAGCTGCTATCGCAGCAATGAACAAACGTCAACATGCCATGATCAAACATGCTAACAAGTCGCGCAAAGAAGCGAACTTCAAAGTAGGGAGTTATGTCTGGGTCAAAATGTCTGAGTTTTCTAACGAAGAGGGTGTATCACGGAAACTCCTTCCATTGTACTATGGCCCTTGGCAGGTTCTTAAGGTGATTGGGGATGAATTTGGTCCTTCGTATGTGATTGACGTGCCTCCTCATTTGTGCACATATCCGGTCTTTCATGCGTCCGAACTGTTTCCACACATCGATGATGAGACTTTTCCCTTCCGAGATCCTATGATACCTAGTCCTATCGACGGCGGTCATGAGATAGACATAATCGTTGCCCATGAAGGAAGAGGGAGGAATAGACAGTACAAGGTTTACTTCCTCTATCACCCGTTGAACGAGTTTTTCTGGATCGACCGGAAAGAGCTGCTAAAGAATTCTCCACGAGTGGTTAACGCCTATGAACGACAGATCACTGACGAACATACTACTAAGTTTTCTGCAAAACTCACTCCTCACGGTCTTACTAAATCCCTCTTTCTGATCTACAACTGCGATGCATTTTGTGCCGACTCTGAATGAGTTACTCGCTCGAAGGGACCTCGCTCTTGAGAGGGGGGTAGTGTAATGACCCGCCAAAACACAGACTGAGAACACTGCTGATTTCTGGGATTTGTCGCTGGAATGAATGCCTTGCTGAGATTCCCGCATTCTGCTGTGATTCCCATGTCTGTGTGTGTGTGCGTGCCTGCTGGTTTGCATGCTTGTCTGAGTGCTTGTCGGCTGAGTGTGTGTGTGACCCGCAAGGGTACTTGTTGGTTGAAAGGCCCCGCAGGGCCGGTACTTACCTGTGGCCGTGATTTTGAGGGTTGCAGGGGGAAAACACTCGAGTAGCGGGGGTAGGCGTGCGACACTTAGAGCAGAGGGGAAAAACACTCAAGTAGCATGTAGGCCGGTACCACTGAAGTAGTGGTAGAAGTGTCGAGTACTGGAGGCCGAGCAGAAGAAGACAAAAAGTTATTTTTAGAGGCCCGGTAGCGGTAGGCTAGAGGTAGGCCGGTACCAGTCCAAGTAGGCCGTTTTTGCCTGTTTTTGTTTTAGGACAAGCTTGCTGTGTGTCAAATTTGGTGTCATTTGGGTTATTAGAATTTGTGCTGTTAATCCTCCTGAAAATCCTGAAATTTTGATGAAGTTGTTTTTTGGCAAAATTGCCTGAAAATGCACTTTTGAGTTGCTGTTTTATGTGTTTTTAGTTTTATTTTTTTTGTATTTTTTTTATAATATGTTAGTAAGAAGTGCACTCTATAGATTGGTGTGAAGTTTGCTTGGGATGACCTTATGGTTTTCTTATAAATTGAGGTGAAAAATGGGGGGTCGGTTAACCTTTTCTCGGTGTCAAATTTGGTGTCATTTGGGTTATTAGAATTTGTGCTGTTAATCATCCTGGAAATCCTGAAATTTTGATGAAGTTGTTTTTTGGCAAAATTGCCTGAAAATGCACTTTTGAGTTGCTGTTTTATGTGTGTTTTTTTTTTTTTTTT